AGCGTACTTGAAAGACGATGACGGGAACAACGCTACTTCACCAGGAGGTCACATTGGTCACGGGCATGACGCGGACGACGAAAGCGCAGCCTTGCGCCAGCCTAGACTCTCCGATGATTTGGCTCGTGCGCCGGATGTCTATCAGGATCTGGCCCCTACATCCAATCTGTCGGGCCACCGGGTCGCGCCCCCTTCCCGCCAGGGCACGGGGAGCAGCGGACCGCCCGGCGCCCGCAACCCAAGGTGGATTTGACCTCGGCCGAACGGCGACGCGGCGAACGGACCGGATGCCATCCCTCACGCATCACCTCGGGAATGCACGGCGACGGCCAGAGCGGGAACGCGAAACGGCCCTCATTGCTAGCATCACAGCACTGCAGCAGCGAACCAACCATTTAGTTCAAACTATCCAAGAATTCCAGGAACAGGCTACACCGCTCGCTGATAGACAGGTTCCACCGAGTGCAGGCCGCTCGGAATGACCTCCACGAAGCCTTCCGCCCTACCGCTTGCCTTTGTGCCTCGCTGCTGGGAAGACCTCCAGCCGTGCCTTGTTACCCACCGCTCACCGCACCAGTGGTGGCATCCTCTCTCCCGAGCGTGCTGCGAAATCAATGAGCATCTGCTCCGCAGCTGTCACACTGGGCCTCCGCGGGGACTGCCCCAAGGCGGTGCCGCGGTTCATTGAGGCACCGAGGCGCGCAAGTCAAAACGCGGTAGCTGCTGGCGCTTGTTTTTCGATTGTGTTGGCGGGCCTTCGAGCGGCCTGTCCACCAGTTGGGGTTTGATTCGACCGCGCCAGGGAGGAGGGTAGCACCCAACCCCTTCTCTCTTTGCGGCGCCCCCCGCCTTCGAGGCAGGCTTGCGCAGTCCAGACACGCAGTGGGGCTTGGACCAGACCTGGTCCGCACTGATGCGCCCTCCTCCCCTGTCTCCTCTTTCGTGTCTCCCCTTCCTCCTTCTCCTCCTTCCTCTTCGTTTCCCCTCCTTGTTCAGATTGCGTGCCAGATTGAAGGTCTGGTTGGCCACGATCCAGGGTTCGGTGTAAAGCATTCCGCAGAAGACACCTATACACCACCGCCATGCCTGGCCTGGGCCACCCTGGAGGATGTTGCACAGACTCCGTTCGCGCTTGCCCGCGGCCAGGAAGGAACATTCGCCATTCCGGGCGGCCAGGCATGGTGGTGATGCACAGGTGCCCCCTCTCTGCGCATGCACCTTACCGCTGGTGGCGCGGCTCCAGCATTTCTGTTCGCACGACAACGACGACGAACTCGAGTGCCTTTGACCTGCAGTACCTACCCGAGCCCGTAGTCCCGCCGCGGACTATGGATGTGCTGCACCTCGTTGATTTTTGCTGATGCGGACGCCCCTTCTTGCATCCTTGGCGCGATCTCTACGTCGCCCTCACGGGCTCAAAGATAGCCGCGCTTCGCGAGTCGCGGCGGGGGCCGCCGAGCGGGCCTTCTCTAGGGGGCGGCGCGAGGTCGCGAAGAGAACCGCTCGTCGCGCATCGCAGGGCGCGATTTGCGAAATTATGTGGCCTAGGATCTGCTCATCTTGGCGGCCTCCTGCTGTTCGGCCCCGAACAAGCATCGCCTCATTCTCCAGTGGACAAGGGTGGCGCCATCGAGATGCGATTCGAGCCTTCCCCTGAGATGGCAGGCCGGGCGCAGCACCACAGTCATTTCTGGACGGGGCTTCCTGCCGCGGTGTCTGCGCCGGTCCCGCCCCGTCCGCGGTGGGCGAGGGCGCTGCGCCCTCCCTGGGGAGGTGCGAGCCCTCTCCTCGTGCTCGTCGTCCGCCCGCCCTCGTAGACCCGCAGCGGCCAGGCGCTCGTCTCGACGCGTCGAATCGCTGCTTGCCGGTGCCGTGGCAGCGCTGGCCGAGAGCCCCGGCCATGATGACCGTCCACGGGTGCGAGGGCTGTGGCACCCAGCCTTGCGCGGTGTCAGCCGAGCTCCGCCCACCTCCCGTTATCGTTGTCACGTTTCACTGGAGGGGCCTTCGACTGTACCATCGACGCCTGTTGCCACTTGTTGTCTCGCTCGCATTAGCTCTTCGTGTGCTCCACTTGGCTCTCGGTGACCTCTCGCTGTCGCTCGCTCGCTCTCTTTCTCATTCTCTTTCTCTCCATCTCTCTGGCCTAGTCTCTAGCTCTCCCTCTCGCTTTCGCTCTCCCTCTCTGTCTTCCTGTGTGCCTGCCTGCCTGTCTGTCTGCCTGTCTTTCTTTCCTCTATCGCTATCGCTTTTCATTTTTTTCCTCTCTCTCTAGATATATACATACATATATAGGTATAACGGTATTATGTTTGTCTTTGCTCTGACTCTCCATGCTTTTTGTTTTTTCCCCATCCCTCGCTCTTTCCCCGTTATGCCCTGGCCACCCCCTCCCTGCCCAGTACATGGCGCCCGACGCCAGGAAACGGCGGGGCACTCGAAGGGCATCCTCAGCGTTGACTGGAACATTATGGATCCAAACCTCCTGGTCTCCTGCGGCAAGGACAACAAGGAGGGAGCTCGTTGCTCTTCCCCCCGTCGTGATGATGGTGATGGTGGTGACGATGACGACGACGACGACGACGACGAGGAGGAGGAGGAGGAGGAGGAGGAGGAGGAGGAGGAGAATAAGGAGGAGGAAAGGAGGGGGAGGACAGGATGTGGGGAGCGGGATGATGTGGGAGGCTGTGCGGTTTTTGGGGCCGCCTCCATAAGCTCCAGGAGGTTTTCAGGGCGGTCTCCAGAGGTTCTTTCATGCTTTGGGGAGTCCTCGAAGGTTTTTCGGGGGTCTCTGCAGGTGTTCGGGTAGGGGGTTGGGGGCGGGGAGGAGCGGGGGGCCAATTCTCCACGGCAGATGCTCTCGAGAGCGACCACGCCCCTTGTGGGGGTCATTGCCATTCGACGATGCCTCCAGCCGAAAAAATTATGCAGGGTGCTCACGATCCTGAGGAGTAGAAGTAGTAGTAGGAGGAGGAGAAGGGGGCGGTGAGGGGGGAAGGATGTGAGTGAGACCAGTCGCGAAGCGAATCCGACTGAGCCAAGAGCCCCAATGAGCGAGGTGAGCCCGACTCCGAGCCTTCTGCCATGGACCCGAACAATTCTGGATGGGTCCGTAGCCCTCGGAGTTTCGTGCCCAAGGCTCTTCAGCATGTGGCTAGCAGAATACCCGCAGCTGCAACAGCACCAGAGCTTCAGAGTACCATGCGAACGCGCTTGATGACTCTCATGCACCCAGCTCCTGCTATGTGCAGCTTGACCCCTGGCGGTGCCCCGAAAAGGACCCTGCTTGTATAGCAAGAGTGGGAGCAGGGAGTGATTCCCCACGTGGCTTGCCGGGCCTGGTCGGCAGAGCTGAGGCACGTCGAACAACCGCGATGCCGTGCGGCACAACGGTGTCTCCATGTGGGCATCTGCACGGATAAAGGAGCAGTAGGAGGAGGGACAGGCTCAGTTTGTCTTTTCTCATTTGGCGAGGCTGCTCCAGCTCTTTCTCTCGCTCAAGTGTGTCAATGGCGTGGCGGAGAACGCGGCAACGGAGTAACAGTGCGTTTTGGTCCTGATTCTCGATACGAGGTTTCCTCATTCTGTGGCACGCGGGCACGGTCAGCAGCACGGCACAGCAGCACGTCAGCCATGGTGCTCCCGACTGCTATCCTTCTGGGACAGCATCGGTTAGTCAGATCCTCGGCCCGCAGATTCGAGGGTACGGACAACACAACAGAGGGGAGGGACAGGAGATGGATGTTGAGGAGGAGGTGGACGGGGAGGGGTAGGAAGAAACAGAGGCGGATGAGGAGGAGAAGAAGGAAGAGGAGGAGGAGGAGGAGGAGGAGGAGGAAGAGGAACGGGCTGGGGGGAAGGAGGAGGAGGAGGAGGAGGAGGAGTAGTAGTAGGAGGAGGATAAACATCGTCCTCCTTGCTCCTCCCCCATCTTCTCCGAGAGGGGAGGGAACGGAGATGGATGTTGAGGAGGAGGCGGACGGGGAGGGGTAGGAAGAAGCAGAGGAGGATGAGGAGGAGAAGAAGGAAGAGGAGGAGGAGGAAGAGGAAGGGGCTGGGGGGAAGGAGGATGAGGAGGAGTAGGAGGAGGAGGAGGAGGATAAACATCGTCCTCCTTGCTCCTCCCCCATCTTCTCCGCCTCCTCCCCAGCTTCCGCACTCCTCGTGCGCCGTACTGCCTGCTCTGATGGGCATCGGTGTTGTCCTATCACTCAGACGTGTCCCCGTTCTCGCATCCTTGCCACGTCTTGCAACGGGTGATCGCGAATCTGCAGTCGGATGACTTGCTGAAGACAGGCGTGCATGTATGCACACACTTGCTGCGCGTTCCGTAGACGCCGAGGCTCGAATCTGGTTTCGCTTTATGCCGCGTCCTAGTACGACCGCGCAATCAAAGCTTGAATGCTCGTTGGGCTCATCGTACCTCATCCTTCTATCCTCCAGTAGGAGGAAGCGGGGGGTGACTTCTTCGTCGTAGTTCTTTGCTTTTTTGGTCTCCAGGGGTGCCCTCGTCGGCACGACTGGATCCGCTTCGAGACCCTGGTCTTAAAGCGTTCCAGGAGAGGTCTTGGGGGTAGGTTTTGAAGGTTTTCATCCTCGTCCTCCTCCTCCTCCTCATCATCATTGCTCCTTCGCCTGCCGCTCAAGTGGCAGCCTGCGTCCGAAGATCATCACTTGGAACATCGGCTCGGGGACCTTGGAGCCACACGGCGAGATGACGGCCCAGCAGTGGAATTTCGACGTCAAGTGGTCGCCCCACAAGCCCGGGGTGACCGTCTCTCCTCCCCTCTGCCCGAGTTCGGGGGCGGCTAAGAGGGGGCTGAGGACTCGGGGTGTGTGGATGCCATGGCCAGGGCCATGATAACTCCTCGAACGTCATGGCCCCTCTCTTTGTTTCAGTGTGTCTCTCTTGCCACCCCCCCTGAGGCCGTGTGCGTGCCTCGGGTTATGATTTGCGAGCGCCCCTCTGGAAACGCCCCCCTCTTAGACGCCCCCGACGAGTCCGGAGTGCCGGCGGCTTGCTGCAAAAGTCGAGGGGCGCACGGTGCCCACGGCGAGCACGAGTTCCAGCAGCCTGGCGGCAGGCGGCTGCGCCGCCAAGGGTCGGCCGCGCTCCGCCGGGGCCGGCAGGGCCACCGTGGGCGAGGCTGTCCACGGTGCCCTTGCCGAGCTGATGGTCGGGGATGATGGGCCTGTTTTCCACCACCACCATCAGTTGGAGGGGGGATGGAGGTGGAGGAGAAGGAGGACGAAGAGGAGGAGGAGGAGGAGGAGGAGGAGGAGGAGGAGGAGGAGGAGGAGGAGGAGGAGGAAGACCCTCTCCCCCTCCAGCTTATGGTGGTGGATGTGGTGGTGGAAAACAGGCCCCTCAGGGGATGCCTCGGGCGGGGCGCCGAAGAACGGCGGCACCACGCCACCACGCGGACTCGGTGAGGAGGCCAACCAGGAAGTCCAGCCGGCAGCCCGGAAGAAGTCCCGCGAGCGGAGAAGTGTTGCTCGGTCGAAGGGGGGTTTATTTCCGGTGGAGCGGACAACTCCTGCGTGGCGCGACCATGATTTGTTTCGGGTGAGCGGGGACATTTTCTCGTGGCTGGGGATGAATCGGGGACGGCTCTTCTCCAAGATCAGGTTCGGTGTTTGTTGCATTTCGGGGGCTTTCTTTGTGAATCGTATTTCTGGTGGGCTTTGGCTGACTCCGATGTTTCTGACTGAACGTTTTGGGGCGGGGCCTCATCTTCTGCCTTCGACTTGTGGTGGTCGCAGTTGTTCTGGATTTCTTTGGGTGTCGGGGAGTGTACTTAACACCGCTTTTTTGTCGCGTGTGGGATTTCCTGGAATGTACATGTAGGTGCGCGGCTGCTCGGCTGTCCCGCGCGGAAGTTCGCAAAAGAGGAGCGGGAGACTCTTGAGAGTTATTTTTTTTACATTCTCGCTGGTTTCATGTGTTTCCTTGTCCAGTATCTGGTTGTCAGCATTTGGGGTTGATTCTGTTTCCCTCTTGATACTTTTTTTCGTATGCCCTCGACTTCTGGTGGTTGCAGGTGCCTTGGGTTTCCTTGGCGGTCGGGTTGTATACTTCGCTCCTGCTTTCGTCGCGTTCGGGTTCTCCTGGAGGCTTCAATTCATTTGCTTGGAACTTGGTGCAACTGTGCATGCATCTTGTGGTCGCAGTGCTCTCGAGTTAGAACGGTTGCTCGCACATGCTTTGCATTAACGGGTTGCGTCGGTGCAGCTGCACTCAGGTCATCGTTTTAATTGCTACCGTTTGGCGTCGTTGCCGTCATCATCGCATTGCCGCTTTAACGTCTCGTTCTTGCGTTTCCATGACCTTCGCGAAACAGCTCCATGCTTGCGAATCCTCTGCCGATATCACCGGCCCCCGCCCTGAAACTAAAAACTCGAGTTGGCCGAGAGTTTTTCTCCAAGGATATAGTTTTCGAAATCGGGGCAGGCGTTTTGTATTGAGGTGTCTCAATGGGGCTCAAGGGACAAGCTCGGGATGAACGTCTCCGTCAATTTATCCATAGCTCCGTTGTAGATCGAGGGGTCTGGCACTGGCTTTTTTGCTTACAGCTGGGCGTTTTCGACGGCAGCGATTGGATCAGGCCTTCATCGAGGCCTTCCGGCCACGACATGCATTTGGAGGTATCTTGCAGCAGGGTCCAGGCATTTCTTCGCCCACCCAAGAAACACTTCGCCGTTCGCCTGGGCGCGTTTTATTTGGTCGCCCTGCCAAGCTTCCTCGCTGGGGACTATGCATTTCTTCCTTGGCCTGCCGAACTTGCCTCGCTCGACCGATCTTTTGCTCCTCTCGCCTGTCGACCTGCGGATTCTCCCCTGCCCCTTACCGGGACCGTGCCAGTGGTGGGCCGCGGGGGCCGTCTCGCCGCCAGAGCTCCGCCGCCGGTGGAGCGCGCAGTGGGCCTTCCGAAGGATGGCTCTCGATGGAGGCCTATGTTGCTTCGGCGGCTTTCGCCATTCCGCGGCCCCTCCCCCCCACCGAGTGCCTGGGGCAACCTCGGGCTCAGGGCATGTGACATCTGCTTTCTTCGGGGGTGGGGTGGGGGCGGCGGTGGGGCAAGAGCTCGCGTCCACCGTGGCCCTTGGGGATGAGAGCCCGCATCGCTGTTCAGGCGCGCGGAGTGCCGCCGTGCCTCCTCCCCCCTCATCGTGCCCCCCCTCCTTTCTTCCAACAGTCGATCTTGCAGCCCCCAATGCTTCGGCAAGAAAAGACATCCCCGATGTAACGGGACGCGGCAATCGTCGTCAGCACCTCCCTGGAGGCTGGAAGTCCCTGGCGGTCCTTGGAGTCCCTTACCGATCCCTGGTGCCAGCAAATGTCAGACACCGCGCCGAGTCGCCGATGCATCGGCGGTGATGGGGTCGGCCCGCTACGCGCAAGACCGGCCGTTCGCTGGAGTGGCCTTTGGCGCGCGGCTTGCGGGGGGGCGGCGGGGGGGGGGGCAAGCCCAAGCAGGCGGGCCGCTGTTGTCGCATCCCATGCAGCGATGGGCAGCCCACGCACCAAAGCTTACTCCTGCCGGTGCAGCCGACCAGAGGATCGCGGCGCATCGCAGACGCATTGGCGAGTCGGCGCAATCCTCCGACCCCATCATCTTTGGTCTCGTGGGGGCGGCCTCCATCAGCGGGGGCTCGGCCACCGACCTGACGCCGTTCCTGCCTTCCCCGGTCTTCTGGCCTCCGCTCCTTCTCCTGCTCGTCTCTGTGCTCCTTTCGCAGCCCCCGAAGCCGAGACAGCGGCAGGGTTCGCGCCACGGTGAGGGCAGGGTGGTCGCGTCCATGCCTGCTTGCCAATGTCGGCGTGAGCGGCCTTGCCCCGGGGCGTGCATTCCAGGATCAAGTTGGACAGTGCGCAAGTTGGAAAGTGCGCCGGCAAAGCTGGCGAAGGCGCTCAGAGGAGCGCTGCGTCCCGCCGGGACCGCTTTGAGACACGCGACAATGAAACCAACTGTTGCAGTGCGAGTGCCATGTGCAGAACCGATCGGGGCACGATCAGAGGCCTTAGAGTCACGCCCCCTCCTCCTCCTCCTCCTCCTCTCCTCCTCCTCCTCCTCCTCCTCCTCCTCCTCCTCCTCCCCTCATTCCCCTCCTCCTTCCCCTCCTCCCTCAACTCCTCCTTCTCCCTCCCACTCCTCCTCCTTCCCCTCTCCCCTCCCTCTCCCCTCTCCCTCTCCCCGCTCCTCCCCCCCAGCAGTGGTCTACCCGGTTGGATGGGCTATACCCTGGTTGGACGGGGTCTACCCCGATTTGCAGCGGGGCCCCCCTCTGGAATGTACGTCTTGGAAGACATTCAGCAATTGATTTCGATTGTAAGCCATTTTGAGAAAGTCTGGGGTGCCAGTGGTGTGCCCTAAAGGAGTCCACATGTCTTCCTGGGAAAACCAACGGGGGACAACCTATCCGCAGCAATGATACTCTGAGCGGACGGCTCCTATGTGAATCGTACACGAATATATCTGAATAAATGTTGTGAATCGTTTAATACCCATCTGTAAAATGTGTAGGAAGCCTATGTGAATCGTATACAAGTCCAATGTGAATCGTATACGACTCCTATGCAAATCGTTTGCGATTCCTACGTGAATCGTGGAGGGATCTGATGTGTATCGTATAAGAGTCCGATGTGACTCGGCATCGCCGACGACTTCTATGTGAAACGTGCACGAACGCCATGTGACTCGTGGACGAGCCTTGTGTGAACGCGCAGGTGTCCGATGAGAATTTTGTACCAGTCAATGTGTATCCTACACGATTTTTGTGTGGATCGCATCCGATTTTTTGATGAATCGCATCCCACTCCCATGTGCAGCGTACACGATTCCGATGTGGGTTGTATCCGATTCCCATGTGAACCCTAAACGGCTCCAATGTGAGTCGTATACGGTTCTTACGTGACTTGAATACGAATCCTATGTGAATCGTATACGATCCCTCCGTGAACCGTATATGCCGATGTGAGTCGTCTACGATTCCGATGTGAATCACATGCGGTTCCTGTGTGAAACGTATCTGACTTGTCTGTGAATCGTATACGGCTCTTACGTCACTCGTCTGCGACTCCTCTGTGCATCGTATACGAAGCCTGTGTCAATCGTGTACGATTGCAATATGAATCGGAGACGACTCCTATGTGAAACGTACACGCGGGCTATGTGAATTGTATGAATATCGTACGGTTTTTTGGTGAACCGTATACGGGTACACTGTGCATCGACAACATACCCATGTGAATCGTATACCAGTCCGACGTTAATCGTATACTTTTCCTGTACGACTTGCATGCGATTCCCATGTGAATCGTACACGAATCGTGTACGAGCCGACTCGTGTATACGATTCCGATGTGGTCCGTCTACGATTCTTATGTGAATCGTATACGTTTCCCTTGCGATTCGTATACGAATGCAATGTGAATCGTACGCGGCTCCTGTGTGAATCGTATGCGATTCTTATGTGAACCGTATACGATTCCTATGTGGATCGTATACGATTTCCATGTGAGTCTTATACGGTTGATACAGAAACCGTGAGGAACCCTAGAATACTCCGAAGAACCCGCACATATTCCGAAGGAACCCGCTGGAATCCGACGTAATACGAAAGAACCCGCAGGCCTCTTACGGAACCCCTGAGGATCCTCGGCAATCCAGAGGGTGCGCCGAATTGGAATCCGGAGGAACGCTCAGGGAATCCGGTGGCATCGATAAGCCAACGGACATAGAGGGCGAATGGGGCTTTGACGGCCACGGCGAACCTCGGCCACAACAGGGTCTCCAGACTCTGAACCGAGGACCGGCTCAGGAATCGTAGCCCCTCCCGAGCCAAAGGCTCTTCTCAGACTTTTCCTCCGCCTCCTCCTCCTCCTCCTCCTCCCCTCCCCCCTCCTCCTCCTCCTCCTCTTCCTCCTCCTCCTCCTCCTCCTCCTCCTCCTCCTCCTCCTCCTCCTCCTCCTCCTCCTCCTCCTCCTCCCCCTGCCCCCCCCTCCCCCAGGCACGCCGTCCTGCCTGCGGGCCGTCGGTCAGTCCCGTGACGACGAGGACAAGGGGGGAGAACGACGAGGAATGAGGGAGGCGGAAAGAGGAATACGACTAGGGTTTGGTGTTTGGTGTTTCGGGTTTGGTGTTTGGGGTTCAGGGTTTGGGGTTTGTTGTTTTGTGTTTTGGGCTTGGGGTTTGTTGTTTGTTGTTTGATGTCTGGGGTGTCGGGTTCGTTGTTTGGGGTTTGGTGTCTGAAGGTGTTTAGCGTATCGGGCGCGCGCTCTTGTTTTTTTTGGGAAGGCTCCAGCCGGGGCATTGCCCGAGTTTGCCGGGGCAGAACAGAACCCGCCCATCTTGGGTATGGCTCGTCTGGTGCCGGGGTATGGCATTTGCCCCCCCCCCCCCCCCCACACTCCTCCCTCCTCCTCCTCCTCCCCCTCCTGCTCCCCTCGCCGCCGTCCTTCCTCCTCCGTGTCCTCCTCGCGATCCCGCCATTCGGACGACGCGGGGGCGGGGGTTGCGGGGCAAGGGGAGGGGGGGAACGAACCTTGCTGCGCGCAGATGGTTTCGGCCCCGCCGCCGAGCGCCGCTCCGAGACGCGCCGGCGCCTCCGGCGCCCGAGGGGGCGCCGGGAAAGCTGGCTGCGCGAGCTGAGCCTCTAACCCGCCCTCTGTTGCCCCCCGTTTCAGCGGCGGGGGAGGACTTGGCATCGCTCGGACGTGTGCATTTTTCCTTCGGCGAGGACCATCGAGGAGCATCCTTGATCATTTGGCGGAAAAGCCACGCACGAAACCGAACAAAAACACAGGGAAGGGCAGGCTTGGACACATCTTGGGGCAGGCTTGGACACATCTTCTCAGAAGTCCCGGGGACTTTTCCGGACCTTCTGAGAAGGCCCGGCCCGCCCCTTCTCGCTTCCCCCCCCTGTGCTCGCCGCCGACCAATTTCGTCCGATCCGATCCTGCCACTGCTTGAGATTCCAGGAGCGATGACGAAGCCGTGGTTGGCGTTGTTGGTTATTTGACCGGCTTCCAGAGGTCCCTGAGGTCCCCAGAGAAGTCGGGAGACCTCCATCATTGACGTTGCCCTCCTCGTCGTCCTCTCGTCGTTCGCCCTTCTCGTCCTCGTCTTCGTCGGCCCGATCGAGGCTTCGGAGGTGCTCAGCTGAAACGTCGCCCGTCCGATGACTCGCAACCTTGCAGGTCGTCCGAGAACTGCCGACGATCGTGCAACACACCTCTTTTTCCTCGCCGAAGGGGCGTACATCGTCCTCCGCGGAACGATGACACATCTGACCGCGGTTCTGCCGCGCATCGCGCCGCTGATCAACAGTCGTGCGGCACACTCGTACCAAAGGAGGAAATTCGGTTGGAGTTGAGGGGAGGATTGGAGGAAACACGAGGGGATCGAGGGAAGGGGGAATGAGGAGGGAACCCGCCATTTCCTCCACGCTCACTGGGCTTGGCTGGCGCGAAGAGGCCGCACTCGCTTGGTTGTTCATATCCCGTGGAGATTGCCGAGCGACGGGGGATGCCGCAAATTTCTCCCTCTCCCGTGGTCCTTCTTTGCTCCCTCCTCCCTGGAGGACACTGCATCCCTGTCGTCGTATTCGGAAGTGCCTCCGTCCTCCCCCCTGATCTTCCTCCCCCTTCCCCTGCTCCTTGCTCGTTGCCTCTGCCTCGTCTTGGTCCTCGTGCTCGTCCTCCCGGAGAGGTGATCTCAGCTGCGTCCATCAACGGGCTGGTCTCCATCTACTCGGTGCAGGCACCGTTGGGGATCGTTCCCGCTCTGCCGATGTCCCACCATTCTTTCTCCCTCTGCCACTGTCACCTCTCTCACCTTTTTCCGCCTCCCTGATGCTCCCTCTCTGTGCCTGTCCCTCTTCCTTTCCCTCTCTCTCTATCTCTTCCTCTCTCTTCCTCCCTCTCTTTCTTCCTTCCCCCCCGTATTCATGATTTCTTTGACTGGAGCGGCTTGGGCCATTCCGCCGAACCCAGGAAAGGATACTTTTTTGGTCGGCGGCTCCGAGGCAACGGACAGGGAGCGGAAGCGGCGTCCGGGTCACGGTACGGGGCTAATTTGCAAGACAATTGCCGCCAGAGTCGGCGGACAAAGCTCGCACCTGCAAGACAAATTCGCAGTTGCACGTGCACAGAACAACATGAACTAAATTCACAGGGCCATCGCACTTAGGCGCCGCAGCCCGAACCGAAGTGGGCAGGCCGCCGAGATGAATGTGCGGAAGCATCGAAGTGAGTCGCCAGGGCGGCGCCAGACTCCTTGTCGACCTGCACAAGCCGAACGGCTGTGCGGCCGTAACCAGAAACAGTGCGCGACAAAGGAAAAACCAAAGGCTGTACAGGCGTTGTAGGCTGAACCACTCAGCGCCCAGTGCTCAGTAATCCGCCTCACAGTGCCGAGGGGAGCCGGCGGCTGCCCAAGGCGCAACTGGGGTGCCGTACCCTGAAGCGAAGAGGTCCGCCAGGAAAGGATACGTGCATCTTCCGATTCCGCGCGTTTTGTTTGCCGCTTCCCGTTGTGTTGCGTGCGTGTCGTTGTTGCGGATTTGTCCCCCTCTTCTTCTGCGTCTGCTGCTGGGCTTCTTGGGGGCCTCTGGAAGGCCTCGGGTGCAGCGTCGTGGGAGCCTTCTCCTTGGCCCTTGGGTCTCTTCGGGGCCCTCCGGGGGCTCCTCGGGGGCATGCTGGGAGTCTTTGGGTCCATCTCTCGCGGGGGGAGGGCTCCCGGGCCCCCTGTGTGAGTTCCCCTCCTGGGCCTCTCCAGCTCGCAGGCTGGAGGGCTCCTCGGGCTGCCTGGGGCCCCCTTGGGCCGTCCGCGGGCCCTCTCGGGGGCCTCCTCGGGCCACGGGGGGGCCCTCGGAGGCACGCGGGCCGAGCGAGAGGCATGGCAGAAGTCCGGAACGAGGAGAACGCGAACACATTCACGATCCAAGGAGCATTGATTCTCTTGGTGATGGGCCTGTTTTCCACCACCACCATAAGTTGGAGGGGGCAAGGAGAAGGAGAGCGAGGAGGAGGAGGAGGAGGAGGAGGAGGAGGAGGAGGAGGAGGAGGAGGAGGAGGAGGAGGAGAGGAGGAGGAGGAGGACCCCCCCTCAAACTTGTGGTGGTGGTGGTGGTGGTGGTGGTGGTGGAAAACAGGCCCATCACTTGAGGCCTTCTTGGGGCGTCTTGGGTGCCTTCTGGGCAGTCTTGAGATTACCCAGGGTGTCCTTGAGGCCTCTCCGCGCGTTGGAGCTCTCCTTGAGCCGTCTCAGGAGGCATCTTCGGCATCTTCGAGGCTCGGAGGCCAGGATGCTGGATTTGGAGGCTCCGAGGGCCCCGAGGTGCGTTGACGATCTGCCTCTCTCTCTTTCTCTCTCTCTCTCTCTCCCGCTCCATCTCGTACCTCCACCACCCTCTCGTGAACCGTTGCCCCTGCCATCCTCCCCTCTTCAGCCAAGCCGAAACGGCCTGCCGCTCGCCAGGGCCAGCAGAGCGCCTCTGCCAAGCCCCGAGCTCAGCTGCGCAGCGCCGCCGAAGCAGCGCTCGCGACGATCCGGCCGAGGCTGGCGATGCTCTATCTAGGAGCAGTAGTGGGCCAGAGGAGGAGGAGGAGGAGGAGGAGGAGGCGGAGGAGGAGGATTCGTCAGTTTGGGTGGTGAAGGCCACGGGTTTAGCCACTGTTACCTACCAGTTGTCAATGCAAGCCCCACTTCATTTATAACCGGCATATTTTCTAAGCGGCACTGCCACACCGCCCATACCCATACATCTACTGCCTTTACACCAGCCGCCGCCCGCACACTGCACAGTACGTATTTCGCTCACCGCCCTCTTTTGGATCGTTTCCTTTCGGGCATGTCATGCTATGGGTTCGATCATCCACCTCCGCTCGCTATCTCCTGACAGTTTGTGTTACTCGAAGCCCTCGAGGGTTCACTTTGTTTCCGTCTCTTCGCCACTCTATGTTCTTGCAGTTGTTGTCAGTTGTAATGAGGCCGCATTGCATGAGTCGATGCTTGTCTCTGTGTATTACCATGGCCGCATGGACGCTGCGACCATCCGATCAATAGTCCGTGGTACGTAACATTAGGCTTTGCCTTCGTCGTCGTCGGAGGAGGAAACGTCGGACTGGGTACCGTCGTGGCCGCCTACGGACTTTCTTCCTCATCGTTGTTGTTATGGAGGAGTGTTGGGCGTCGAGAAATCGCCTCGCTGCTCGAGGACGAGAACGAGCTAGCCCAGCGTCGGGAGAAGACCACTCTGTAAACTCTATGCGAGCCGTGGTGCCAGACATGATATATCTACGAACCGAAGAAATAGCCCTGGGAGCCGATGCCGCTGTGATGCAGGCGCGCAGCCAATCCGAGAGAGTTTCGATTCTGCTGATCGATTGCCAAACGAGTCGCAATGGACGCACGAATCGGTGGCGAAACGAACCATCGGCCTCTTCTCTGCTGACGTGTTAGCTTGCACTTGTTCTCGCTTCTTTCGCCGCATCGCACTTGCATTCGCTGTGTGGCCATGGTGGTGCAACCGTTTTCTGCGAAAAATCGGTGAACCGAATGGGGCCACGTTCAGGATCGGCTTGTTGGTAGAAGCGTGGAGGCTTGAGCAAAAAAGAGGGCGTCTTGCCCGAGCCTGCGCAACTGCGGATCGGCGTGAGTGGTGCGCGCGCGTCGGGCGAAAAGGGGTTTGCCGCGCCCAGCGTCGGACTGCATGCGTGTCACGTGCCAGGTGCGGGGTGACGACTCCACGAATCGAGGTGGGCCCGTTGCAGACACCGTGTTTCCCTGGATGCCCATGAGCCAGGCAGGTTTTGGCCAGGTTGCCAGCTGGGTCGCGTGCTGGGCGCGGGGGTCTGAGGATGGCGTCTCCGTGCGCGTGGGCACTCTTGCCGAAGGTGCGTCTCACCCAAACGAAGGGCACCCATGCTTCAGTATCGTTTAACCGACCCCATCCCCATCCTCATCCCCTTCGAGACCCCCACCAAATTACCACCCCACTTGGGATACACCCCTCGAAACCCGAAGGGAACGGCCAAGATCCCCATCTAGGGGGGGGTAAATCGGCCAGTGGGGCCCAGGCCACGCCGCTGGGGATGGGGATCGGTTAAACGGTACTTAATCCTTCCTTCCACCAGTCGATGGGGATGGTGACAGGCTGCCCCTCAGGCTGCCCGGCAGCCCGGCTCTTCTCAAGCGCCTGGCCAGCTTTGACGAGAGGAGAAGACCTCCAGGCTCGCCGCAGGAAGTGCTCCTTTGTTCCGTCAATTTGGATGGCGGGCGGATCCGCCGGCGGTTCGCAGGGGTGTCGTGGGCATGTCGCGTTCGGGGCCGGGCGGGCCGCGGGCAGGGCAGCGGGCGACCGTCGCGCTGTGGGGGGGTCGTGGGGCACGTCGTGGGCTCGTCACCGGGGCCCGCCACGGGCGAGTCGCGGGCGGGCCGTCGCGGGCGGTCTGTGGGGGTGTGGCACGGGCGGGCCGCGGGCTTGCCACGGGCCGAGCGTTGGCGGGTCCGGGGGGTGTCGCGGGCGGGCCACAGTGGGTGGACCGCGGGCATGTCGCAGGCGGGTCGTGGGCGGGGCGAGATTGACAACGGACGCACTTGACAAGGTAGGAGCAGCATCAATACGTCTGACACGGGCGAAGACGCGACCCTCCCCACGCGCGCACACCTTTCCCCACAGTGCGATGTGGCACCCCAGTCGCGAGTCAGTGCGTACCAGGCGCATCCACGCTAAGTGCACCCAATTTCCGTAAGTTCCTCCCACCCCCCACCCACACACAAAACCGCACGCACCATTCCTCCACGCACCCAGGGTGGCCACGCTCTACGACAATTTGGGTATTTTGTCCTGACGGTCTTCTCATGTTCGGTGTGACAGAGTATGTCGGTCACTCTGCCCCCAACGATTCTGCCCACTCCCACGTCTCCTCTCACTGCCCCACCTTTTTTTCGCTTCTCCTCTTCGGTTCCCTTGTTCATGTCCGCCTCCTTCACGTCTTCTTCTTCTTCTTCTTCTTCCTCTTCTTCCTCTTCCGCTTCCTCTTCTTCCACAGGTTCTTCCGCGCCCGCTCTTTCACCGTGTATCCTTCGTGCCCCCTTCCCTGTTCCTGCTGGTGCGCCTCGTCTTTCCCGTCGGGCGGTGCGCGCCGTCGGGTGAGGCAACTGGCTGGCGTGAGCGTCAGGGATGTACGGAGGGAGCGTTGGAGGAGGGGCAATCTATTCGCTTCGACCAAGCCCCTCGCAGTCAAACTTCCGCCGTAGGACGCACATTGGACCTGGACCCTACATGAGGCAAGCATGAGCGTGAGCGAGAGCATTCGATGGGCAGGAGAGGAGGACGGGGAAGGGACGGAGAGGATGATGATGATGCTGATGATGATGATGATGCTGATGATGCTGATGCTGATGCTGATGCTGATGATGATGATGATGCTGATGATGAGGATGAGGATGAGGATGAGGATGAGGATGAGGATGAGGATGAGGATGATGATGATGATGATGATGATGATGATGAGGATGATGATGATGATGATGATGATGATGGTGATGGTGATGATGATGATGATGGTGATGATGCTGAAGATGATGATGATGATGATGATGATGATGCTGATGATGATGATGATGATGATGATGATGATGATGATGATGATGATGATGATGATGATGATGATGATGATGATGATGATGATGATGATGATGAGGAGTAGGAGGAGGAGGAGGAGGAGGAGGAGGAGGAGGAGGAGGAGGAGGAGGAGGAATCTATGAGCAGAAACAGGGAGGCTGGTATTGGGGTAGGAGGGGGGGAAGTGGAGATGGGGGAGGGTACGGGAGGCTCAGGTGTGGGAGGTAGTGCAGCAGGAGAATCCGAGACGGGAATTTATACATGATCATCGCCTGGAGGATCGATTTTCGGGGAACTCGGCAGGCAGGGGATATGAACATATTCGGGCCCCTGGGTGCCCAACTACATCCATATCCACCGCCCGCTGGGGCACCAGGACGTCGGTGGATATGGATACATCCCCGCCTCGCAAGAACGGAGGCAGGGGAGAGGATTGAGGTTCGAGGAGGCAGGGGAAGGCATGATAAAGAGCAGGAGGCAGGATGCAAGTCGACGATCAAGAGGAAAAGGGCGGATGGGGGGGAGGAGGAGGAGGAGGAGGAGGAGGAGGAGGAGGAGGAGGAGGAGGAGGAGGAGGAGAAGGACCAGTATAAATTTCAACGATTTCGCAATATACCCTCCCTCCAAGCTTTCTCGTCATAGGTCCCTGCAAGAATTTGTATTCATTGTAGGAAGCGGCCCGTTGAAACACAACTGTCCGAAGAACTCCAAACACTGGGATACTTTGCGATGTCCGACAGTATTTGAGAGTCCCAGACTGGGCCAAAACACCGTTCTCGGGACTTCAACGCCGCGAATCAACGTGATTGTTGCGTCCTAACAACCCTACTTCGTGCCAGGACACCAGTAATGGGACTTCAGCACCGCGAGTTCACGTGACTGTTGCGTCCTGGCAATCCTAAGTCGTGCCAGAGCACCGTTCCCGGGAGTTCAGCCCTTCGAGTCCCCAAAATTCTTGCAAATGGCTTAGACGAGTGTACGCGGCGCTGAGGCGAGAGCCACATTGTGAGAAGGAAGCGTCGCCAATTCGTGAAACTGCTGCAAACTTTTAGTACGAATGTGCGGGGTGCTAATTCCAGAGCTCCATTTTGAGAACGAGCCACCCTCCAATTCTTGAAACTGCTGCAAGCTTTTTAGACAAATGTGCGCGGCGCTACGGGAATAATCAAAATTCGAACACGGTCCGCCTTCCATCCGTGAAGCTGTTTGCACATTCAAGCTGTTAGATCATAGAATCTGAAGAGTCTGCAGCGACGTGCCTGGCCCGGCCCACAGACGCGTCTCGGGGAGCAACAGGGAGAAGTTATTCATAAGGAATCGGGATGGACGTGAGAGAAGGGAGGACGAGAGAGCAGGAATAGGAGGTGCAGCCTGAGAAGGGGGGGTGAAGAGAGGAGGCGAGAGGATGGATGAGGCAGTTGCCAGCAAAAAGAGACCCATATTTCTGCTTTCCTTTTTGTTGGCAGTGATCAGAACAGGCAAGTCATTTGAGGGAGCCCTTCTTGAGAAAGCACGCCAGTTGGAAGAAGGGGCCAACAGCCCCCCGTGTTCCGTTTCCAATAAATTTGGCGACGATTTCCAAGCCGACGCCTTCGCGTTGGACGTCCTCAGAAAATTGTCCCCCCGAGCCTCTCCAATGAGGCCTTCAGAGGCCTCCTTATGCTCCGTTCCTGGGAAAATCTGGGGAATCTTGCGACGAATTCCACACCGGCGGGTGCCCTCGCGTGGGACATTCTCAGACAACCGGCTACCCGAGCCTCCTAATTGAGACCCTCAGAGGCCCCTTTGTTCTTGGCATCGCTCGGGCGTGTGCATTTTTCGTCGGCGAGAACCATCGAAGAGCCTTTTGGGCCATCTTGTGGACAAAAGCGC